CGGGCGGCCACGGCCATGCAGTTCTTCACCAAGGGCTACCAGGAGACCATCGCAGGTAGGAGCTCGCCTCCACCGCCCGGGCGCTTTCCCCAGCCCTGCCCCGCAGACCGGACCCGGCACGGGTGCCCGGCACCGAGCCCTGCCCTGCTGGGACCCAGCCAGCTGGAGAGAGCGGGGACTTTCCCAGGGAAAGCCACATTTCCTGCCAGCTCATGGTCTAGGATGCTCGGGTGGTTGCGTGGTTCCTTCCTCGTGCTAGGGAGGAGACGGCAGAGGCCCTTGGGGCGAGGGGGGCACCTGCCTTGGTGTTCCCGTGTCCTAACCATGCCCCAGGTGCGGGGGGGGCTCCCGCTCTGGGAAGGAAAACCAGTCCCTCTCGGCTCCCTCCTCTGCTGGCTTCGTGCGCCGGGGGGGTCTCGCCGACTCCCGGCCTCGAGGGGGCGAGGAAACAGAAGTGCGAGAGCCACGAGGGCTGGCTTTCCCGGGGACAGAAACTGAGACGGCCTCAGCTCTGCTCTGGGGACTGTCGTGTCGCCAGCCGCACGCAGCTACTGCTGGGCCTGGCGAGGAGGTCACTGGGAAGCGGCGGGCTCTCTGCTTTCTCCCCCTGCCCCGAAGTCATGAACTTGTCAAACTCTCCGCAGGTAGATTTCCAAAATGCTGCTTTTAAATCAGACGCGCGCTGGCCGGGCAGAGGAGAAAGGGAGCTCTGGCATCTTCCTCTCCCGCCTGATGCAAGACTGGCAACTCCCCGGAGTTGTGACTTCTTCTTTCCCTGAGGTTTGCCCAGCATTTAGTCCTGGGCCAGGAGCTGGCTGGGCTTCCCCTGGACTGCGATTGCTCATACGGATGAACTTGAAATGAAAACTTTCAATGAGTGAATTGTGCGTGCGTGTCGGGCAGGTTTCTCGAGGAGCGTTTCGGGGAGAGGGAGAAGCCCCCCTGGCCCCAGGCTCGGTGGGGCCTCTGCTCCTGCTCCCAGCCTTGTCGGGCAGCAGCGTATGGAAAGCAGAAAGCCTGCGGTCCGCGTGATGCAACCCAGGACCGTATGGCAGCAGCGATACTGTCATTGTCGTCAGCCGGGCTGTTGCTGAATGAAAAAGTTGAGTCACGGAGGTAGCAGGAAGGAAGGAGGGGAGGGAGAGGCCAGCTGGGGAAAAGACAGAAGAGCGAGACTGGCTGCCAGTGCCTTCCCTTCCTCCTCCCCGCTGCAACTCCTCTTCTGCCAGAAGTGCAGGGGTCATGGGTGGGCTGCACCTTGCACTTACTGAGTTCAGTAATAGCAGCCTCTCTCCAACTTGCACCTGGCGTTATGGGGCTGCCCGTCTCCTTAGGGTATTTATTGCCCATAGTGGAGCCACTTCCCCCACCCCTGACTCTCACTGGGCAGTTGAGTCCTTTAGCTTGCAGGTATCCACCACACTCCTAGCCCAGGTTACCTAGATACGCTTGTCCACCCTTCCCCCGTGGAAATTCAGCACTTGTGCTGGACAAACACTACCGAGTCATCTGTCCGTGCCCAATGCTAATGTGTCTTGTTTTAGTGTAGAATGAAACCGCTGCAGACTGGTTAATGCAAGCAGTTACATCTTGAAGGTCTGCAAATGGGAAGTGTTCCAGCCATTACAAAAAAATTAAATTAAAAAGCAAGATGGGAGTGCTGTTTCCCAAATGAAAGCCAGCCGCGTGCTTGTCTTGGCGGCGTATGGACTTGGGAAGCAGCTGGCTGCAGATCTAGGGACGGCCCAGAAGCTCGAGGTGTGACAAGCAGCAGCACGAATGAGAAACCTGCAGGCCAGTCGGTCTGGTCCGCAGCCTGCTTTCGTCCTCCGGCTCTGGCTCCGGCTCCAAACTAACTCCTAACTTTGCTTTTTGCCAGCCTGGCTGTTGCCTGTTTGCTGTCACCTGGACAAAAGCCCTCCACTGCCTTCTCCAGCTCAGGTTATCGCAGCACGCTTGCTATCTCACTTCCCCATAGTGACTAATAGCTAGTGCTTTTATGGGCAGCAGCCGTGTGACCAATGCAGTTCCTAGGTTATTCAGGAGCTTTTCGTCCCTCCTGTCCCATGCACCCTGGACTCTATCGGGCTCTGCCTGTAGGACTGCAGTGTGCCTTGCCAGACAGCAAAGGCTGAAGAGTTCCCTCTTAACAGTGTACGGGATGGCATTGTTGGAGGATGCATGACAAGAGGGAGAGTAAAATGCTGCTTGTTCCTAGGTCTTCAACCAAAGCATTTACTCGGGTGTCAACATTTCCTGCCTAGCCAAGCCCTGTCCCTGCAGAGGACAGTCATGGTGGGTGACGTGCAGCTCCGGAGGGCAGCGGGAGAGCCCTTTGTGGTAGTGTGCAGCTGCTCCTTGGGTGTGCTGGTTGCTCCATGGGGAAGAGGTGGCAGGACTGGGTGGTAATGCTCAGGCTTTTCCAGGGAAAACCTGCTTTGTACGGGATCCAGGCTCCAGGAGCGCTGTCCTTCCTTATGCGTTTCCTTTTGGACTGGTGAGATGAGATAGGTGTGCGACAGAAATGTGCTTGTTCCCACCTCGCCCATCTTCAAGGAGACTGAATCCCTTTGCACTGCCCCGGCCTCCCCTGTTGTACTCCCCCTTCCCTCTTAAAGGAACAGCCCCTCTTCCCCTCCCGTTGGAGGCAATCTTTCCTCTCCAGTTTCCATCACGGAAATGTAGGCAGAGTTAGCAGCAGAGCCCTCTGGCTGTCCAGCAAAATGCCCTTGTACTCGGCTTCTAAAAAGCATGTGCTTACACTTGCAGAAAGGAGGCTTTTATATAGCACCTGTCACTGTGTCTCAGTGCTGCAAGGACCGTGCCTGCGGTGCGTCCATCTGCAGTGCCCAGCGCAGCGAGGCCCTTGGCTTGCCTGGGGTCTGCAAGCACTAGTGCAAAGTGTGTAAATGCTGGTACTGAGCCGCTGTGTTCTTGGAGGTTCGCAGAGCCAGCCTGAGAGAGGAGTTTGCACGACGGAGTGATCCCCGTATGTAGTGTGATTGCGGGACTCCAAAAATCACCCCTGTGAGACTGAACAATTGGAGGCAGCTTTTTATTTCTAGCGGTGTTTTCTTTGCCCCGGAGAAACCAGCAGAGAGTCTTTAGCTGTCAAGTTGAATTAAGAATAGAAGAAATGGGGCAGAAGCACGCTGGATGGGAAACCTGCACGTATTTAAAATGCTCAGCTTAATTTTCCAAATGGGAAGGTAGGGACTGTATGATCCTTCACACACACGATTGCCTGGAGCGCTGTCCCTTGCTGCTTACATTTGTGAGTTATCCTCTTCTTGCTCTTGTCTTTCAGCCTTTGTGTCTGCCCCGGAGGCTTCTTGTGACAGTCTGAGCACCCAAGCTTTGCAATGCAGTAAAGCAGGGATGCTGTGGGCTGCTGAGCCGGGCTAGACCGTTGGTGTTAATCGGAGCCATGATGCCATACGCATCCCTCGGTGAACGGGGACCAGCGGACTCCAGCTCAAAAGAAGCTTTTGTAGGGAAGACGCAATGCATAGAGTGGGAGAAAATAGCGCTTTCTGTGCTGAGCCACTTGTGGCTTGGGTGCTGCAGCCAGAATATTAGGGAAGGATTTGGGGGTGGAGAAGGGTCTGCCCTGCAGCGCCCTTTCATCTCATCCTGCAGCCCCAGGAAGGAGAGAGCAAGGGTGCAGCACACAACTGGCTGCATAAGCTCTGGGTGTGATTAGCATTTTCCAGCTCACTTAATGCATGTGTCTTGTATAGGGTCAGCCACGAGTGCTATTTTTTTTTTTTAAGTTCCTTTGCAAAAGTTTTTTTTTTTTTTTTTTTTTTTAAATCTGCTTATTTAAGACCCCAAAGATCTTGTGTGGGGCTTTTTTTTTTTTTTTTTCTAATTAGGGAACCTCTTTCCTTTGAAAGAGAAAAAACCTTGACACTTGTAGGTCCTGAGTGAGCCAAAATTGTCAGGGGGTGGGGGAGATTTCTTGGGCTTCAATTGAAAGCTTCTTACTAAAGAGAGCTTAGTGTTATGGGGAGGGAGGGTTTTTTGGCTAGCTAGTTTTGTTTGGTTTTTTAGTAAGCCCCTCTGAGCCTTTTTATCTTGGGGATGGGAGGGAACAGCAAATGAATATAATATTTAGCTACTCAACGCAAACTTCAGCTGAGTAAATTTCTCTTGCCCCCAAGTCATCGTATGTCACTTCTTTGGTTCCTGATACGGTACTATTTTTCTTGGTTATTCTGGAAGAGAAGCATTTGTGGAAAGGGGGGAATGAGACTAAATACAAAATCTACTCAATTTTGAGCTACCCGTATGTAATTAAAGCAGCAAAATAAGTTTAAAGTCAATTTTCACCTACCCTATTGGGTCATTTTCACTGCCACTGGATGTCTCCCACGGCTGCTTTGGCCTTGCTTAAATAGTCATGTTCCTGACTCATCTTCAGTACGTGTCGCAGAGCACAGATAACAGATTTGAATGTAAAACTGAATGTCTGTGTAGCTGGATATCACCTCTGAAAAGCCAGAACAATGTCAGGATCGAACTTTGATGCTAGGTCACATATCCTTTTTTCAGGTTAAAACATCTGGGTTTGGTCAATACCCTACTTTGGCTTTTTTAAGCCAATTTTTTTCAGGACAACTGATCTGTACTACTATAGAAACAAACTTTTTATCATGTCCTTTGCCCCAGTGACTTAATCAGTCTAAACAACCAGTATAAAATTATCAGCAATTAGAGCTTCCTATTTGGCTCTGCAGGTGGAGGAAGGCTGATCTGTAAGGGGAGTCTTCCTGACGTTTCCTGTATCAATAGGGGTGGCCAGAAGACTTCCACTCCTTAAACTTAAATAGCAAGGAAGCCGAATCATCTCATCAGAGTAAGGCTCTAATGAGCCATGAGATTAGCTGTGGGAATAAATTAGACTGGAAACTTGTCAACTGGACGTTCTGCAACCGAAAATCAAGCTGGACAGCTAGTCAATGCTGGCTGTCTTTTTAATTTAGTTTTGTACTCTTGGTTCGGTCGCTCTAAAGTTCAGCCTTGTTTTGTAAGGAGGGGTGTAATCCCTCGTTT